TATACATGCATACAAAAATTATTATTATGATTATTAATTTTTTTATGATGATTACTTGTTTTTATTGTTATTGACAGAACTTGTCTCCTGCTAAACAAACAAATAAATAATTCTTTTTTTTATCGCTAGTATTTTTTCCTAAAGTGAAACTCTATGCTCACATCATTATATTCCTATGCGTGCTGGCAGTGATGAGCGCTGAAGAGGTGGACATTATCCTGCAGCGCAGTGAAGGAGGAGTGGACTCGGCTCTGACGTACGCTAAAACCATCACCAAATACATCAAGGATATGATCGGCTACATTGAGAGGAAGCTTGCATTAGGTAGGATCACGTGTGGCTTCAGTGATATGATGGTTTGATGTAAAATTTGTTTTTAAGTATTATGTAAGAGACTGAAATAAAGTGTGTAGTTCTGTATAAAACTTCGTTCTGATTGTAAATCCTGACTGGTTGAGCCACGTCCTGTTGCTACTTGTATTTTGCTTGTTGATTTTTTTTTTTATTATTTTTTTTTTATACTTAATATTTGACGTCTTAAATTGCAATGGATATTTATTAATTAATGTTTGTGCAGAGCTGGAGTTCTCCAAGGGCTTACAAAGGATCTATCAGACTTGTAAACAGACCATCACACAGGTGAGAACTAACCTCGCTCAGATTCTTTGAAGTCTTCAGGATTGGTTTGTTTTCTTCCTCATGCATCTGTTTTTGTGTCCATCAGCCACACATGCCCTTCTTCTCCATCTACTCTCTGGCTCTGGAGCAGGACCTGGAGCAGAGCTCTGGGATGCATCAGGCGGCCTCCACCCTGCAGAACCAGACCTTCATCATGGTACAACACCAACATGTCCACCTTTTGCCCTTTTATTACTATGGCAACCCTATGAACCATAAGAAGGAATATGATGAAAATTGGCACACTTGTAGTGATGGTCATGAATAGTGAACTGACCAACTCTATAGCACTACCAGCAGTTCAAAAATTCACTTTTCAAATGGTTATAACTTTTGAACCCTTTGTTGTAGAAAAATTAAACTTAGTACACCTGATTACACTCTTCATGCTGATTCTGTTCAATAGGTTACATTAAGACTCTGCCCATTACAGTAGCTACCATTTTGAAAAGGACAGTATTCCATTTTTACAAAATTTGTCCAATTCTTCTGAAAATTGGCTTAGATAATCTTTGGACTAAGCCGCACAGAAATGACGGAACAGAATTTTGATATTCATCTTTGTTCAAAAGTTATGATGTCGTGAACTTAAAGGGATAGTTCACCCCAAAATGAAAATTCAGTCATTAATT